AAGTATCACATGCTTTTTATGGTTGACACCTTAGTAATTTTTTTTTCATTAATATTTGTTCAAAATTGTCTAATTTACCAATAATAATAATCGATTATGTAAAAAAAGACCAAAATACTAGATGAAAATTAATATTCAAACTGACCTGTAAAATGTCAAAATTTATAACATTTTATTTACATTTTTCAAGAAAGTTTATAAATATTATAAAATCTATTACTATACGTAATAGTAAGTACTTTCAATGTACTTTCACATAATAATTATGTTTGCTTTTTAATTTTATAATTTAGAAATATGAGTTTTATAAAACTAAAGTTGGCTTTCTCAATATCGATTATTTTGTTTGAATTTAAATTTTAGTTGATAAATTTATTTATGAGAAAGACAACTTCAGTTTTATAAATCTGCTTGTTTTTTAACCTTTAAATTTGATGTTGAAAGTGGATTTTTTAAAGAGAATAAAAATAAAAAGTAGCTCGTTCTCCATCACCAAATTATGATAAGATGAATAAAGAAAATTTCACTTAAATTTTAAGACTAAAATGGGACTTTTTCAGTTATCGCCTGCGGAGATATAAGTGTTCAAAAACAGATGAAATCCTGAAAAGTATAAAAGTACTTACTATCAGATAGTAATAAATTTTATAATATTTATAAATTTTTTTGGAAAATGTAAATAAAATGTGATAAATTTTGACATTTTGCAAGTAAGTTTGAATATTAATTTTCATCTAGTATTTTGGCCATTTTTACATAAATAATTATATGGAATTAATATTGGTAAATTAGACTATTTTGAACAAATATGCTTAGGTACTATTTACCTACTTAATAATACAGTTAATAAATTTTAAAATTAAAAATGTCTGATATAATATGGGGGTCATTTAAAAAAAAATTCTTTCGAAATCCTTTGAAACTTGTTACTCAGAGGTTTACGTGCTCCCTGATTATGAATCCGTACATCCAATGCGGACAAATTTTTTTTAAATTCATCCGATTCGTTTGAAATTTATTACTCTATGGTTTTTTCAGTGTCAATAATTACAAAAATAAGATATTTGTAATGAAAACTCTACACTTAAGTTCATTATTTAAAAAATTTAAATATCTGATTAAAAATAATTTTTTTCAGATAAAGTGATCAATGAAATGAAGAATATATATTATCTACTTAATAATTATTGAAGGATAAAAAATGGACATCCGCTTTATTATGGACTACCTCAAGGAAAAAATATGAAATTCAAAGAAATTAAAATGCAATGTCTTTTTCATCAATTTTGAATCTAATCACGTTCAAATTAGATTCAAATATGTTTGTAGAAACAGATTAACGTGATGTTAAAATTTCTTTTGTATGCTTATTATCGAAACCAAATTAATAACAAACATTTAGTACATTAACATTTATTAAAAAATGACGTTCTATTGAATAAATATGTCAATTTTTTAATTCCTTTTGCTTTCTCGCATCAAGAAAATATTGTAATATCAACAGTTTTCGAATTCGATTTTTTAATGTAATCTTTAATTATATTTATCGCAGGCGCAGATCCACTGTATAGGGTGAAGGGAGCGATCGCCCCCTTAAACTTCTTAAAAGTTACAAGTACAGCACAGAAACTAAGAGAAAATTTATAGTTTCTGTCCAAATTTTTTTTATCTTTTTGACAACTTTTTTAAAAAAAAATAGCCACAGTTTTCGAATCGCCCCCCCCCCCCAAATACAGGTCTTGGATCCGCCACTGATTTATCAACGTCAGGAAATTAAAAATCACATTCTTAAATGTTCGCTCCGTGTGCGTGTGTCTGTGTGTGTGTGTGTATAATTTTTTTAAAATTTTAAGTCTTATCGGCTGACAAATAATGAGAATACTTTGAGCCATATTAGTGAAGATTAACTATTTTTTTGTTTTTAATTTTTAAATTTTTGAACAATTTTCTCTTCTTCTAACTTTAAAAAAAATGTATTGACATCTGCAGATATTTTTATATTTAATATTGTAGAGTTTTTCAAGATGCATCTTTCGAGGTATTAACGAACATTCTATTCTTATTCTATACAAAGTTTTTGAATTATTTTTAAAAATTAGAAAAAAAATTTTTTTGCTATAACTTCAAACAAAAAAAAATATATATGGGTGACTCTCCGCGTAGCGCACAACTTGCTTTTTTTCATGTTGTGAAAGAAAAATCACAAATAATATTCACATAATATTTCGATTCTAATGTAAAAAGGTAATTTCTGTGACTACAACCAAAAATCAAGTTATTTTTGTATTTAACATTATAATTTTTCGTGAAAAGTGGTTTTTAAGGCTGAAAACGTCAAAATTTCACCTGTCCCCACAGGATGTTTAAACAAAAAAGTTAATATTTTTAGCAATGTGCACTAATAAATACAATTTCTGTTGCTATTTTAGTATTGTATATTGTAGTGGAAATGAATAAAAAAAAATTATTTTCTTTTTTTTTCTATTTATACTTGACTGCACTTTTGTGTGTTATTCTGCGTTTTATTATTAAACATTGAATTATTTAAATAAAAGTCAAATGTTAATATAGTTCTACTTCAGTAATAGCAAAAGATATATTCCTTAAGTTGATCCATGAAGAAAGTAATCAATTTTGTAATTGATTTATCCTTTTTTTACACATTTTAAGATTCAAATTTGTACAGGGCATCATAAAATCGTCTCCACCGGCATCCACCGACCCTTCAATATTATTTCAAAAAATAGAATATAATTAAATAATAAAGGTTAAGTAAAGTGTAGTTATATTATTTTAGTCTATATATATGTGAAACATATGAAACCGATCAAAAATAAATGATAATTTTCTCAAAAAAAAAAAAAATTATTAACATCAGTTCCACCGGTTCGACCGACCCCAGCGTCTCCACCCGCCACAAAATTTCAACCGTCACTAGTCCAAGTTTAATACACAATGAAACAAACGAAATTCAAAATATTTATTATAAACTATCATAGCTCCGGTAAGTTTACTATAACTTACCAAATAAATTTATATAAATTACCGTATAAATTTCTATAAATTACCGTATAAATTTCCATAAATTACCAAAATTTAACTTACAAATGTAAACTTACATTGTACCAATTTGGATTTTTTTAACTCTTCGTTAAGTAGTTTCACAATGTCTTTGCGCAAACTATTTCTTTTTGATAGTTATAACAACGCTACCTAGTTATAGTTATTTTTGGTATTCGATTTTTAAGAAACATATATGTTTTATTTTTCATTAATCTTAGTACTTCGGTACGAAAGGGCTAATTCTTCTTTCTTTGTAAGCCCGTTTACATGTAAATAAATAAATAAAAATAAAATTTTTAATTGTCGTTTGCGCTATATATATTTTTGTAAATTACCACGAAATTTTTCATAAATTACCGAAATTAAAATCTTTAATTGCAATTTATGCTTTACATATCGCTGGGTTAGTGGAAAAAAAGGACACGTCTTGGTTAAATCAAACGGACGTGTCCTTTTTTCCCACTAACCCAGCGATATTTTTATGAATTATAGCCAAAATTTCTATAAATTACCATATAAATTTCCATAAATTACCGCATAAATTTCTATAAATTAATGAAATAAAATTTTTAATTGTCGTTCGCGCTATATATGTTTTTGTAAATTACCGCGAAAATTTCTATAAATTACCGCGGAAATTTCCGTAAATTACCAAAATAATAATTTTTAATTGTGATTTATGCTTTACATATTTTTATGAATTTTAGACAAAATTTCTATAAATTTCCATAAATTACCTCGAAAATTACCGTAAATTACCGAAATAAAAATTTTTAATTGTCGTTCACGCTATATATATTTTTGTGAATTACCCCAAAAATTCCCATAAACATTTTAAATCAAATTTCAACTATTTTATGGAATTCAACAAGCAAAGAATTTTTTTTTAATTTGATTAAAAAAATTAAAAAATTATAAAAAAATTTTCCGTCCCACCATGGATATTTATTTATTGACACTTTATATCTTCAAAAATATGTATTGATATTTATCATTTCGATAAAAAAATATTTTTAAATTTTCAGACACCAAATCGTGCGCTACGCGTGGAGAATCACCGATATATGCCTTAAAAAGTGCTACTTTATCTGCCCAAAACAGGCACAAAAAAGACACTTTTTCATGTCAATGGCGAAAAAAAATTTTTTTTTAAATCCTAGTTTACACGAAAACTACACATGCAAGGAACATATATACTGTCTAAATTTGAAGTTAATTGGTTGAATAGTTTTAAAATGAGAGTGTGACAAAGTTGAAAATATGCAGTTTTGAGAAAAACGAGTTTAAAATATTTTAATTAGAAATTTAAAAAAAGTGATTATTACTTAATCGGCGATACCGGATCCATACACAGATCCTTCTTTGGCTTCTAGAAGATTATTTTTAAGTAATCTAATGCCAGTCAAATAGCAGTGAGTGCCTCTGGGCCATTTACTAATACCCGACCGGTATAAACGCGTGCGTTCTAGACCTTGGAAATACTTTAGACTAATTTTTCCGTGTTCTTAAATATAGTTATATTAGCTAAAAATGAAAAAAAAAAATCACCGTAATCTCCCCTTAATGTTTGGGCAACCAAAAAAGTGTTCCATAATAGAAGCGTTTACTTTATTTTGGTTCATTTTTTAAATGTTTTTAAATATTTTTAATCTTTTTAGGTTTCAAATTAATGTTTTTTAAGTCTGTCCCATAATAGGTGAAATTTTATAAATTGTCCCATTATGGGTATTTTTACATACCTTATCATAATTTCGAGGGCAAAGTGCGAATACAAGAAATAAAACTACTGTACCTGTTATCCTATTGCCGACAATAATATCATTATTGTAGTGCAAATATTGACGAAATATAACCTGCTATCAGGACAATATGACCCTTAATCATTTGTAGAAATTATTATAAATTAATTTAAATATTAATAAATGAAATAAAACCAATTCTTATTAACATGTATGTTTATTGTAATTGCTAAATACTGTGAGCCTTTATGAGTTTTGTGCTCTGGGCTTTTCTTGATTATAAAAATTGTCGATGAAGGCCTATAGATATATGTTAAATTACAATAAAATTATAATTATATGTATATGTAAATATATATATATATATTTTTTATATATAATATGATTATCTATTGTTTATTCCTGATGTGAAAGTAGAAAATTATGTATTCTTAAAAAAAATAATAATGATAAAAATGAAGAAAAGAAAAAAAAATATTTTAAGAAGCACTTATAAAATTATTTGCATAATTATATCTTACACTCGGAAGGATAATTGTCTGTAGCTTTGGTATTTCGAATTACGATAGATATAATGCCTGCAATTATTTTTTTTTCATTATTATATAGACTAATAAAAATATTACAGAGCTGTCACTGCGATATAATTCAAATTGTATCAACTATCTTCAATTAAGGTGACAAATATTTTTGACAATGGGGTTTAATATCTGCAATATTCATAAGTTTTCGAGAGAGTCAAGAAGTATTTAAAAAACTTTATTCTCAACTTTCCTTAAAGTTTTACGTCAAAATAAATCTAGTCATTTTTTTAAAAATCTTTGACTGAAATCTTTTAAAGTCATAATTCAAATTTAAATTAAGAAATAATTCCAATAAAAAGCCATTTAGATTGAAACAGTTGGAAATATTTATACTTCCTGTTTCTTATGAACGCCACAAAGCTACATTTATCATGAATTTATGATAAAAATTGTTTTATCATTGGTTACGAGGACAAAGGCATGAGCATACACAGCTATTATGCTTATCGCTGAATCCATTACCTGACTTTATTTTAATACAAACATCAAACTAATAAAGAAACACTCGCATTATTTATTGTACGTTCATCCTTTCTGAAACTTTCCAGTGGATCACGAAAAAGGATAAACTTCTTTTTAAAATCATTTCTCGCGAGTAAAGTCTTTTTTTTTTAATAATATGTAAAACTTATCATTTTATAAATTTAACGTTCGAATAGTTTTGATAAATTGAATTAAATAAAAAACAAAGAAATTCGGACCAATATTTTTTAATTGTTCTCCAACGTTTCAAAATCGTTTCCTCTTCAGAGAGTTTTTTTTCGTCATACAAAAATTAAAAACAATAAAAGAAATCATAAATTAGTTTACAATAGTAAAATTGAAACAAAAATTTACAAACATATTTAATAAAAATTAAATTTAAATAATAAGATAAAGAATAATAATTAAAAAGGAATAAAATTACTGAATATAAATTGATTATAAAACAATTTAAAAAGCTAATACAATAAGTAATTTTATGTTTTGTTAATTATTTAATTTTTATTTCAATTTTACTATTGTAAAATAATTAATGTTTTCTTTTGTTTTAATTTTTGTATGTCGAAATTATTTAGAAACATTGAAGAATAATTAAAGAATTTTTGTCCAAATGTCTTTGTTTTTTATTTATTTCATTTTATTTGTTTAAAAATCAAGTTTATAATTCTTTTTATTTCTTGAACATAATAACATTGAAATATTTTTTGAAAAGCGGTTTAATTTTTTTTTAAAGAACTATCTAATTTTATAAAGTTTGAATTAGTAACATCAAAATATATGTAGTATTTTTCATTTTAATAAATTGAATTATTTAACATTATATAATATAAATACAATAGTGAATCTTTTAGATATGATTGATTCCAAAAGTAAGTTTTCAGAATGGATTACTGTGTTTATATCGAACATCGCTCGTATTATGCACTTATTTTTTATATCGTATACACTCAATCTAACATTCTTTAATTCCTAATTCTTTTCTTTTCATTCCTCAACAGCACTCACAGACTTTTGTTAAAATGAAAAAGTCAACTTCTCGCAAAATAATCATAAAACATTACATTATGATTTTCGTAAAAGATCGAACTACATATCAGCCACAATTCAATTTTCATAATGCATGCAGCAATAATGATTATTATTATTATTATTATTATTATTATTATTATTTTTAATTATTATTATATGTATATGCAATCAGAGTAAAATTCAAATTGGCGCATACTTGCAATAAAAAATAAATTACATCTCTGTCACAAATCCGTGTCACTAAAATCTACGTCATGTATTGTTTTCGTCTCTTTCTCTCTCTCCCTTTTTTTCTTTTTTGTTTTCATAATTACTTCTTTTCGCTATATGACTAGAAATATCTTTTCGCGGTTCATTTCCTTCAAAAAAGAAAATAAAATGATAATAAAAAGAATAGGGAGTATATGTTTAGAAAAAATAATGTGTAGCCGCAATGGCTACGCGATTATATTTTTAAAAAATTAGCGCAGTTTAGATGAGGGAACTTTCGATTAATATTTATAGAAGTGATTACACACGAGGACTTATTTTTTGTTTCAATTAAAATTCTAGTGATGGCCGGAGTTCTTTAAAGTGATGTGTATTTTTAAAATTTATATATCAATTCTGCCGTGCAATGAAAAATTATACGTAAGTGAAATTTTGATCGAATGGAGAAAATAAAAAAAAAAAAAAAACTATAGAACTTCAGTGTGTAATAAAAATTTTATTAATTTAAAATTTGAAAATTCACTTTTCAAGTGTGCAAATCAGAATACTTTAAATGTATTTTTTCGTTTCGCATTTCATAATTTTTTTGACATTCTTCATTTTTAAACAAATATAATTTCAAATCATATATTCTTTTCCATACATTTACTTTTCTTTATCGAATTTAAAGAAACAAAAAAATTAATATCGATGAGAATGTCACTTATCGATCATTTTTACTTTGCACCGCAGAATTCTTTTTTTTTCTTAAGAATTATATTACTAAAATTTATGAAATGCTCGATTCTTTAAAAAATTTTAAATAAAAGAGTTTAAAATGAAATTATTTCCTTAAAAAAAATAAAGATTGTAAAAATTGTATTTAAAAAATTATCAATATGATAATGCTTTTTAAATCGATTTAACCTAAAGTTTTTGGTAACTAGGATTTTCTTCTTGATTTCGATTCTAGATCATAAATACATCATTTTTCAAAAAAACGAAAATCTGTAGGGCCGTTTTTTAAAAAAAAGTCGATTTGAAAATTCAAAATAAAAAGTCAACTTTTTTTCAAGAAATATTCATTTAAGAAAAAATTTCAAGACGGAACTTGCAGATATGAAAAAAGGAATTTGTTTGTTTTTACCAATTTTCTCTACAAAAAAAAAAAAAAACTAAAAAAAAACGATCTTTTTACATGTGTTTTTAGTTTTTCTTCAAAACAGTTAAAATAAAATAATTTGTCTTAATTACTACATTTTTGAATACTAATTAATTAAAATAAAATTAATTAATTAAAATAAAGTAAGAAAACATTAGAATATAATTTTGTTTTATGTAACATTAATAAAATATAAATATGTTCAAAGTATAATTTTTTTTTTTAAGAGTGCTGAACAGTCTCTGAAATTCTTTGACAAAGAGAGACATTGATTTTAAAATACTTTTTTCTCAAAAAACGGACACTTTTTACAAAATCGGCTAAAAAATACCAAGAATTTCCTAAATCCGAAAAATTGTGCGCCTCCACACAAAAAATGCGATTGAAAAACTAAAAGTAGGAAAGTAATATAAAAATAGCTGCGACTTTGTGCTTCCTGCATGCTTCTGCCATCTGACGGCGGCAGGACGTAATAAACTACCTATTATATTACTTTCCTACTTTTTTTTTTTGCAATCGCGTTTTTGTATAGATTCACACAATCCTTCTGATTTAGAATTAGAAAATTTACAAGATAAGGATCCTTGGTGTTTTGACCAATTTTGTAAATATTTTGTAAAAAAAATTTTTTTAATTTTAAAAATTTTACAAAAAATAATATTTAAAACAAATTGTTTTATTTCCACGGCTTTAAAGTAAAAAAAAATCTAAAAACACATGCAAAAAGTTAGTTTTTCCTGTAAATTATTAATTGTAGAAGAAATTGATAAAAAAAATCCTTTTTTTAATAACTTCAAATTCCATCTGATGAAATTTTTTCTTAAATAAATATTTCTTGAAAAAAAATTCAGTTTTTGTAATTTTGAATTTTTAAATCGATTTTTTTCAAAAACGGCTCCACAAAACATTTTCGTTTTTATTGAAATATAATGTATTTATGATCTAGAATCGAAATCAAGAAAATCCCAGGTACCAGGAACTTTAAATTAAACCGGTTTAAAAAGCACACAATTATCGGAAGCATGAAGTAGAATTTTGAAAAAATTTTAAAATCAAAAAAATATTTAATAGCTTTCAGTAAAATTCTTTTCAAGTTTTCTTGGAAGATTTGTTTTTGATGAAATAAAATGATAATTGTTGAAGAATTCGTGATTTCAAAAATTTTAGTTCCCAGTTTTCGAAATGTGAAAACAACATTCACAATAAATAGTCTGTTGTTGCAAAATCGACTTTGAAATTTCTTTAATTAGTATGTTCGACATTCTGTGCTTGTTTCTCAATTTTTCTTGCAAGCTCTGGACTCATGTGCGGATGTGGAAAAGGCAGGACTGGTTTCCGCAATATTGCCGGTTTCACCTTAACCTGAGGTTTAAAACTTGAAACTTGACTTCCTCCAGTGAGATGCATATCGGCAAATTTAGCTGCTATTTTTGGAGTTGATCTCTGAGGAAGAGGCGAACGTAGAGAAATTGTTTCTGAAATTTGATTTGAACTATCAGATCTATCAATTGTATTGGACTCAAGTTCAACTTCAGCTTCCGCTTCAGTATTCTCCATTCGTTTAAATTTTGAATCTTCCGCAGTGGATTTGGTATTTTTTTTCAATGTACATTGATTTTGTTTTGCAAATCGTTCAGCTGCTGTGCTCATGTCGGGAGATTCTGGTCCACCAGTTGGCGATGTTGCCGCTTCAGCTCTTGCCGGTTGCATTGGTGTTTCCTCGTCGGAACTGCTGAGACTACTGGACGAGGCAGATTTTTTACTCGAATCCTGAGCTGATAGAGGCAAATCCATGACAAGATCTGGCGTATGCTTTTGTCTCATTTCGCGAAACTCTTGAGAGGTTCGAAAAGATTTTGGCGTTACGGGAGGATTCAATTGAACATGTGAAGTGGCTCTTCTCTGCCATAGTTCACGATTTGCTGAGAAGGTTGTGTGCTCCTGTAAATCACCTTCGTGTGACGAGGAGACATGAAGAGAATTCATCTGCTGTGGTACAGATTCGCCAACGCTTTGTGATTTCCAATGTTGTTTTCTTGAGGCACCTCTTTTTGAATCACCGACTGCTATTCTTTCGGCCTCATCGTCATCACTCTCGTCAATTTGCTTCTGCTCGTCGACCATTAGAGAATTAAGAAAAGATCTGTCTTCATTTTCAATATTGTCCTTGAGTTCATCGTTTTGATCTCGATGGGATTTGGATTTTTCACGTTCTGGGCTTGTTCTTGCTGTGGCTGACTCCTGGAAATAGGAAACATTATTAATTCAAGAAATAGCAAAATTTTAGTTTGGGTCAAGCATTTTTCTCTACTCGATAGTCGATTTGAAACAAAAAAATTTTAATTACCGAAAACTTGTGACAAAGATTTTTTTTTAAATTACAAAAATTGTTTTCCAAACAGCAAAAAAATAGTACAATTAAATACGAATTATTACAGATCTATTAATGAAAAAAAAAAGTAAATACAATTAATTACTAGTATATATCTTATTCTCTAATAGCGTGTTAAGAAATGTGCAAAATGACAATCATAAAGATTGTTTTTAATAAATTTTAGATGCAATATAATTGAAAATGATGAGCTGAAAAAGAATTAACGAAAAATTAGCTTTTGAATTTACAACATTTTTTTGTTGTTGTAATATCGTTTCTCCTACGCAAACTATTTGTATTGTTTCATGTTAGTAAATGACATAATCCAAATTTTCTCCACACCTATCTTCTCTATTTCTTCTTGTTAACTGCTCTACTAATTATATTTTATTTGAAATTTAACAATTTTAACGCCTAAAATAACTATTTATTTTTTTTCATTAAAGTAATTGAAATGTCAAATATTGTAAAGTCTAGTTTTAAAATTTAACTGCTTGAGGAATAAAAAGAATATATTTTTGTTTTCAATAAATTGCTCACTTTTGCATTAAAAAAAAAAAAAAAAAAAAAAATGAAAAATGAAAAATGATTTTTGCATGCAATGAGATAGAGTGCTAACGAATTCTCGTGGTGGAAAAACAATAGAAAAATAATAAAAAAGCGGGCGAAAACATTGAGGCACAAAGTTAGTGATAAAGAGAGAAATCCGGCTTTAATGATTGTGGATATAATGCGAAAGGGTGAGGCGTTTCTTTACTCACCTAAGCCAAAAGAGGATCCGTCGTTTAAGTAGGTTCCGTTATTGATTTTCCTTTGGTTTTGTCTACGAACTGATATTGTTCTACGGGAGTCTAGGATTTGCAAACCAATCGAACTGTCAAATATCAACATATCGACATTCCTTGAACGAAATTAAAAAAAAAATGCACACATATACACACACACACAAACACACAAAAGGAGCACAAAGAGTTCTTTTTTTTTTTTTAGTCCGTCGAACTGTAGCCGATTATCAAGAATCTTAGGACTCTCGAATCGGTTAAGAGTGTGATGACTAAACGTAAATCTGGAAACACAGCAACCAACCCAAACAATTAAAATTGCAAAAATATTAACGAAGGACTAAAAAGGCAGCACAAGGCAAATTATATGAAGACACATGCATCAACAGACACGAATAGTTCTATTTATTTACAGCATTATCGTACAAAATAAATCATAATAATTACAATGTGTATCGTTTTCTATATATATATATATGTTTATATGAATATCGTTGTACAATCGCTCCGCTCGTGCGATTACAGCTAATTTATAAATTTTTTTTTTTTTTTTTTTAATTTTTGCAGAGAATATCCTTCTGAAAAAGTGACTTAGACCACTGAAACTTAATAAACATTGTCATTGAATCTTGACTTATAAAAAGAAAGTTCTTTTGCCGAAAACAGGGTGTCTAGCGCTTTTGACAAATTTAAGATTAAATTATTATAAGTGTCTTTTTATAATAAACTAGTATTTTAACAAAATTTAATTAGTTAACAAATATTTTACTTTAAATAACTAATGTTATTAGATATTAAATTCATTTTATTAATTCTGTAATGAATATAATTCTACAATATTATCAAGAAAATTTATTTCGAATAAGTAATTCAGAATCAAACTAATTGTAAAACAAATTTTCAAAATTTTATTTAAAGTAAGATAAATTTCGATAAAACATTCTTAAAGTTCCATTTTTATAATCATTTGAAGTCTGATTTAAGCACTTTATTCGAATTAAAAATTTTGTCATAGTTTTTAGTTTTGATGGTCAAAAAAAAATTTTCCAGTAATAATTAAGTTTTACAGATTTTTAAGTAAAAAATTTTTTTTTTTTAAATAATTGAATTGCAAAAAAGATTTTAAATTTGAAATAAATTTTCTGCAAATATTTTTATTTGAATCTATTTAAATAAATTTTCAAATTATTAAAAATAATTGAATTTTGGAAATAGTTAAAGTTGAAATTTTTAGAAATAATTGAATTTCAAAAGATTTTGTTAAATTTCAGACAATAATTAAATTTTACAGAACTGAAAATAATTTATCAAATAATTTTACTTTTAATTTTTTAATAGTAATTGAATTTTTAAATATTTAATTTATTTAATTGAACTTCAAGTGATTTTTAATTAAAACTTTTTAATGATTTCTGTTAATGAAAAATTTATTAGAAATTACAGCAAAAAATAGAATTTGAAAAGTATTTAAATGAAAACTGGTTTTAGATAATTGAATTTTCGAAGAATAATATTATTTTTTTTTTAAATTTAAACAATTATTAAATTTCATAAATTCTTTAATTTGACAAATTTTATTAAAATTATTAAAAAAAAATAATTGAATTTTGGAAAAGATACAATTGAAATTTTTAGAAATAATTGAATTTTCGAAAAATATAAAATTCATTAAAAAAAATAATTATATTTCGGAAGAGTTATAATTAAAATTATTAATAAATTTCCGAAAGTTTTAAATGGAAAATTTGAGAAATAATTAAATTTTAGAAGGTGTTAAATTTAAATATATGACAATAATTGAATTCCAAGTGATTTTGAAATGAAATTTTTGATATTTTTCGTTGCTGATTTTTTAAATTTAGTAAAATTATTAAATTTCATAAATTCTTTAATTCGAAAATTAGTTTAAGATAATTGAATTTGTAAAGAATTTCATTAAAATTATTAAAAATAATTAATTTAGTGATGAATTTTAGTTCAAAATTTATTAAATAATTGAAATAAAGAAGATCTAAAAAAAAGACACATTTTATTAAATGTTTTTTTAAAAAATGTAAAAAAAAGTCGAAAAAGTCATATAATCCAAGGCCTGTTATTATTATTATCAAATAATTGTAATTAGAAATTAAATAAGTTTTAATAATTCCTTAATAAAAATATTTCATAGGAATATTTTTAAGAAATTTTATTTACAATATTTGAGAATTAAACTGAGACAAATTTTCAAAAATTCAATTCAGTATTGGACAAATTTTTAAAAAATAATTTAAAATTATTGAAAAAAAAAATCAAAATATAATTTATGCAAATTGTTCGAATTCAGAAGTTTAGAAAATGTTTTATATAATTAAATTTTCGAAGAACTTCATTAAAAAATTAAAATATTATTTACAAAAATGAATTTAATAAAAATTTTAGAAATAATATTGAAATTTGAAAAAGTTGCAGTTATGAAAATTCCAGGACCTGATAAAAAAAATCAAAAACTTTTTCAGGTTTTTCAGGTAAAAAATAATTCAATGACTTTTCCAGGTTTTCAATGAATTCCAGATCGCTAGACACCCTGATATCTAAGACCACAATCCCCAAATTTCTATTTAAATATTTATAAACTTTTATGAATTTTCTTAAGCTTAATGCCAGTTTTTATGATTATTTAACAAACATTTTAACTGATTTAAACAATTTTATCATTTTTCAATTAAAAATGTTTCAAATTAAATTTTAGAAATTGAATTGTATAATTTTTAGAAATTTTAGTAAATTATTTACTAGATTCAATTTAACTGTATTTCTATATTTAAATATTATCTAAACAATTTTTCTGAAGGATACAAAAGCAATATGTATAAATTTTTACGATGCCTCATTTTAGAACCTAACTGTAAAATTGTAAAATTTCGCGTTCTTTAATTTGGCATGCATTCTTTTTCTTTCAAATATATTTTTTTGAGCAATTAAACCAATTATATTTATTTGAAATTTCAGTCTTTTCAGCCAAGATGCGGCCAGGGAGTGCAAAGTTCGACAAAAAAAAAAACATGCTTTCTTTGAACCGTCGAAGAAAGCATTTTATACATTTAAAAATCTAAGCTGTGCGTGGCAAATAAAAGTGCAAGGTGTGCAAAACTATCAAATTTATTGTGAATTTGTTTTTTTTTTTTATAGTTCCGAAATCCATACAAAATGACAAATTTTAATCTCCCTTGTCGAGAATTATAAAAAATAAAATTTAATGTTTTTCAACGTTAAAAAGTTTTCTTAATAAAACAAAACCAATAGTTTTAAAAATGCATAAAAAATTTTTCATTTACGTAAATCAATAAAGCTTTCTGAAATGTATTTATTTCGTGAAATTAGAAACTTTTGTGACTAAATCCTTCATGTACACTTTCTTTTTTACAAGATTTTTTCATTAATTTATGACTTCTTGTAACTGATTTAAAAAAATTCTAGTGAAATAGAAAAGATTTAAAGTTTATGTTTGAGAGATTCTACACATAGTGCACATTTAAAAATTATGAATAATTCTAAAATTAAAGCTTCAAAAATCATTTCAATCACTTATATTTGATTTATAAGCAATGAATAATCGTAAGTACTGTGTGTACCATAAATTTGGTTTTACTAACTTCCGATCAAAATTATTAAAATTGAAATTTGCAAGAGTAGAAAATTCTATAGAGAAACAATTTGCATTGCAAATTTCGATATTAATCGAAGATGACAATGATTGTATTACTTTAAATTAGATCGCTTTTTAATAAATTTACACTTTGCAAATTCAAGAATATGAATTCTGTGAAAAATTTTTCTGGTAAATTATTTTTACCAAAAGTGAAAAAAGATCAATTTTTTTAAATGCATAATTAACATATAAATACATTTTTGGCACATCGTTGCTTGTTCCTTGAGTTTTAATAAATTATATTTTAAAAATAAATTTCTAATTATATAAATGAAGAAAGCAAGCACCGGGAGACGAGTGATTATCACAAAACCGGTACTAAAAAAACAGCTCGATCAAAATTAAAATAAAGTGTAATGATTTTTTATGTCCAGGAAGTTAGATCAGTAAAGTTAAAATTTTCAAAAAACAAATATTGTGCTGAATTGTGCTCGACTTGTCCTCATGAGGGTTGTAATTAATTATTTGAAAAACTCAAAATTCCCGGCAAAAAAACCAAAAAACTTTTGTAAATCTAAAAAGTTAAAGTTTTGAAAAAACAAATATTATGCTGAATTGTGCTCTTTAGTAAAACAATTTATTTTTGAAAAACTTAAAATTCCGGGCAAAAAATCAAAAATCTTTTTTTATACGTCTAAATTTACATTTAAAAAAAAAACAAATTTTGTGCTGAATTGCCTGGAATTTTTGAGTTTTTCAAATAATTAATTTTTGCACAAAAGAGCACAAGTCAAACACAATATTTTTTTTTTGAAAACTTTAACTTTTTAGATTTACAAAAGTTTTTTGGTTTTTTTTGCACGAAATTTGGAGTTTTTCAAAAAACGAATTACAGCACAATATTTGTTTTTTGAAAATTCTAACTTTACTGGTCCAACTTACTAAACATTGAATTTTTTGAAAAAAAAAATAATAAATAATAATAATAAAAAATCGTCTAAATTACAGTGACTTGTACACTAAGTGTAGAACCACCCATGTCCGTAAAATATAGATCTCTTATCCTACATTACCTAAAATCGTGTATCTTTCCAACGGCTTCGTGTTTAAAAGAAAAGATAACGAAGAAAAACAGTGAACCAGCCATGCACCTATGCCTAGACTTTCTTATTTTATCAATAATAATAATGAAAAACCAACAATACTCTCGATATTTCATAGCAGAGAACAATAGAAGGCAGTGAACGTGGAAGTAAATAATAAACGGCTAATGTTAAACGGTTGTTTCCAATACCTCTCGGCTGATGATTGGTTGCGATGACGTGAAGCACGGCACATTGGATATCACTGTTGATATAATACCACTGGCATTTGTACTGTCCGAATGCATCGCACTTGAGGCCATTGATGCGTCGGAGGCATCGATTGATTGCCACATGTTTGAATTATTAGTGGGACCCATCAATGGTGAATTGTGGCTTGAAACAACATTCTCTCCGGAACTAGACGCCCTTCTCATCGATTCCTCGCTTGATGATTTGAATAATTCTTTTTCTCGCTCTTCGTCTCTGGAAAATGGTTCAAAATTTAATTTTTAGTTTTCTTTCATTACATCATGTTCCAGTTAGAAATATTTTAAAAATTAATCCTTTTAAATATGAATTTTTTTTTTTTTGTAATATCCAATAACCATGATTTTTCATTGTTCAGGTCTCGGATTGATTTTTAAGGCAAAACAAATGTAGTTTTAGTCGATTTACATTTCAAAAAAAGTCGATTTTTTATTTTAATTAAATTTAATTAGTTAGTAAGTATTTTACTTCAAAAAAAATTAATGTTATTACGATATTAAATCCATTTTATTAATTTCTTAATAAGAATAATTCTATAAAAATATTATTAGAGAAAATTTATTTCGAATATTTTAGAATCGAAGAGGTAAATTTTTAAAATTTTAATTAAGTTATTAAGTAGGACAAATTAAAAAAAAAATCTGACAATTTAATTTTAAAGTTTTTATTTTAAACTTTTTTAAATAATTGAATTTTTAAAGAAATATTAAAATTATTAAAAATAAATGAACTTTGGAAGATTTATAGTTAATATATTTAGAAATAATTAAATTTTAGAATGTTTTTAAATTGAAATTTTTGAAAATAATTAAATTCAAGTGATTTTTAATTGCAATTTTTGGTGATTTCTGTTGCTAAAAAATGTAATAGAAATTGCAGACAAAAATTGAATACAATTGAATAGAATAGAATTTTCGAAAGAATATTCTAAAAATATTTAAAAATAATTGAATTTCGAAAAAATTATAATTAAAATTGTTAAATTTTAAAAAAGCTTTAGATGAAAAATTTTTAAAATAACTAAATTTTAAAAGGTTCTTCTAAATAAAATTGTAATTTTTGGTAATTTTATTTAATTTTTTTTAACCCTTAACTGATACAATTCCTTGTTCGAACATAAATCGCACAACAGGTCTGCTGGACCCGACGTATTCAAACGTGTATTGTACAGCCTGTATTGAATATTTTTACACAAAAATTTAATCTGAGGTAGCTAATGATGTGTTTTTTAAAATTTCATTAGTTTTACAGGGATTCATTTATTTTAAGTTAGTTAAAAAAATGTTGAAAAATAAAAACGAAAAATTGCGTATTTTTTACTTAAAAATTCATGAGTTATTTAAATTTTAATATTGTGACTTAAAAATTCAAGGTTATACTCTTGATGTATTATTTTTAAAGAAAAATTTTTCCACAACAGCAGGACTTGCAAAAAAGGTATTTATTTTGCAGAATTAAATGTGTCAGGTTAAAATTAAAAACTTCTAATTATTAATGTTTGAAGCTAATTTATTCTTTTGTATCGAATTAGTTGTATCAAAAAACTTAGAAAATTACTAAAAATATTTCAGAATAATATATTAAAATATAAAACTTATTCACATTCATTTAATTTGAATTCGAAAAAATGCTCGGGTCTACTTGACTCATGATGCCAGTTAAGGGTTAATATTGTACAAAAGTTTACTTTCCTTTAAATAAAGTAATTAACGAGAAAAAAATTTTGTTTTAACCCTTTTTTTACTGCATGAAAACTGTAATACTACATTAAAATTTACTCTAAAAAATTCATATAAAGCACACTTACTTTATCTTGAGCATAATATACTTGTCAGGAATCAGTCCCTCTCTTCCTGCAAGAGCGCCTCTCCACCAATCATTGCTCACTTGTGTGAACAAAATTAACGTATCACCTTTTTTAAAACTGAGTTCTCGTTCCGACCTCGCATTAAAGTCAAACTGAGCCACTGCTTCCAAATTTTCCGATTCTACACAAAAAATAGAGTTTTCTCTTTAATCATTCCTTTTTTTTTCTTTTTTTAAAGTGAAATTTCTGTTAAAGAACAAAAAATCTACTCACCATCTTCTGATGGATAAACCTCGGAATCCATATCTTCTTGTACTTGATCAGTAGGAGAATCTCCGACATCCCTGTTTTTTTCATTTAATTAATTAAAAACTTTTTTTTTCAAATTATGCCTAAAAACTGGTAACTAAGTAAAAAAAGAAAAAAAACTTACACGTCATCAGGTTCCCTACTTATGTATTTTTCATATTGAATTCCACCAATATCGTATGGGAATATTTCTTCACAAAAAGTTATAATATTCTTGATTAATTCGTTGACTTGATTTTGATATTGAACTTGATCTTTATCTTCTGGAACAGGAACTAAAGTTGGACCAAAACAAATTGCCAAATTGTACGGATCCATCATGTTCTCGTCCGAAAATTCAGAAAGACTGAAAGAAGAATTATATTTTATAGATATATATTTTTTAAATTCCCTACTTAGAAATTGGAAAATTTATGAAGTTAACACTTTTTAAATTTTAATTTAAATTTTGACAATAAATTATTTTGCATTGCACACGTTCAAGGAAAAGGAGAAATTTTTAATCCATCAAAATTTACAATAATGATAGGCACCAATTTTTTTCTGATATTATTTCGAATTTTAAATTATTATGAGGATTTTTTTAATTATTTTTGACCATTTTAGAGATTTTATTTAAAACATTTTTTAAAATACATATTACTCATTCATTGATTGGAGTTATGAAAAAGGTATAAAAAAAATTGTCTATGAAGAATAATAAAAATTGTGGAAGAAATCAATTTTAATAGGATTACCAGTTAAATTTTAATCAATCAAAATTTACAATATTTAGAGGTAACAAATTTTTTTTTCGTTTTTTGAAATTTTTAAAAATTTATTTCATTGGTTTGTTTAGAATCTAGAAAAAAAATTTTAAAAATTGACAATAAAAAACAATGAAAATTAGAAGGAAAATTCAAATTTCAATTTTTTCAAACTTTTGAGTTCTATTAAAAATTTATTAATTTTTAAAATTGTTCTAATTTTTAATTAATAAAATGTCAGAAAAATACTTGCACTCGCTAACAATGTAAATGTCAATGTAGTAAAATTTCTAAGGTCTTTCTCTTTAATCATTCCCTATATAAATATTATAGATAATTATATAAAACAAGTTGTAGTATTTTTAAAAATTAAATTAATATCATTACAGAAAAAATCTGTCATAATTTTTACTTCAGTGAATATCATAAAAGTTTTCAACTAGGCTAATCACGATTTTAATGATTTTAAAAATTAGTCATAAAAAATTTCTCAATGGTCTTGTTTTTAAAATTAATCGTTTTTTGAAAAATGACTAATATCGGACTTTTAAAATACGTTTTAAAATAAACGCTAGCTTCATAGTCAGCCTAAAAAATATTTTAGGAGAAATAGGGGACTGAAAATTTTACAATAGGGAACTTTTAAGGTACCATGAAAATTACATAAATTATTACAGAATCATTTATAAAACCAAAAAAAATTTTTTTAATTATTTTGCAACGATTTTAATCGAAATGTAGTGAAATAATTCTCTACAAAAAATAAATTGTAGGTATTTATCAAATTTTATGAAGCATTTTAATACAAAATCTATCAAATAAGTCGTTTTAGTCAATTTATATCAAAGGAAAAATTGATTTTTTATTTTTAATAAATTCAATTAGTTAATAAATATTTTATTATTAGAAATTAAATAATTTTGATTAATTCCTTAGTAAAAATGATTCATAGAAATATTTTCAAGATATTTTATTTAGAATAATTCAAAATTGAATTGAGTCAAATTACCAAGAATTCAATTTAGTAGGACAAATTTTAAAAAATATGAATTTCGGTAAATATTTTAAATAGTATTGGAATTTTCGAAAATTTTTGATAAAAGTTATCAGAAATCCAAATAATTTATCAAAAAAAATTTTGTTTTAATTTTCTAAATAATTTAATTTTTTTTTTTAATCTGAGGTCTGTAAATAGGGTACTTTTAAGTTTTAGGGACAAATAGTGAAAAAGGGTACTTTTAGGGAAAATATTGGTCGACTATGAAGCTCAAAAGGCTTAAGTCACTCCAAACTTGTTTTCGGCACAACATGAACTATTTTTAAGTCAAGTTTCAAATATTTTCACTCGAATAATTTTTCTATATATTTTGTCTATAATTTTATGAGAAAATGAAATTTTTTTGTGAAAAAGAATGCTCGATTTATACTTACTGATTTAAAAAGGCAAACAAATATCGCATCACAATAACCACCGGCCTCGGAAGACTTGAGATTAATTCTTTCATTTTTAGGACAAATTCCTGTTTCGATTCGAGTTGTGCTAATTCCATAAGATGCTCAAAGTAGATTATAGGAAATAGAGGTTCCCTGAGTTCTCTGAGGTAAAGCTTAAGAACGCCCGCAACACTATTGATATCGGAGGCGTCAGTTACGTCCGCAAGAGGATCCTCACCTCTTTCAAACCATTCTCGAAAATTATTTATCTCAATCTGCGACCCAGAGACCCTGAAGATTCCCTGATGATGAAGTCCATAGAGATTTATTACCCTGATGCAACTCTTTATAATTAATGGAATTTCTTGATTCGTGCTTTCTAAATATTCTTCCAATGAGCCACCAAATAATTTTGGTTGTCCATTCATTTGTAAACGTCCAATTCGTTTTCTACGCGCCTGCTTTTGTTTCGTTGTGCCAATTGAAGGATTTGGACTAGCATTCGAACCATCAACTAAACTTTGTCGTATGTATTCTTGCTTTGCATCGAGCCTTGCTATTCTCGATGTTCCTAGAAGATATTCTCGAAATTTCTGCAGAGATAAATTATATTGTTATTTATTTTTAAATTTACTTATATCAAGAATTGAAAAATTAAAAATATAATTAATTATACCGTGAGGTAGAATTCTTCTGTCTCTTGTCTGTCGGCTCTCAATTTAATTTGAAGAGTTTCCGGTGGTTTCCACGTTGGAACTGCATTCTCACCAAAGTATCTAGAGCAATCATAATCTTTGGCAGTCAACATTTCTAACAGACTAGCTTCAGCAGTTTCCAGAGTTTTCCACACTTCCTCGGATTCGGTTCGAAGTGATGTTACTCTTTGCTGAAGCTGGGACAAACGTTGTTCCATTTCTGTGTGTAGCACCTTCTGTAGTTCCGGTTCGGGTGTCTGCAAGGTTTTTAGAAATTTATTATTTTTTTCTTTTTTTTTGCAAAATTCACATTAATCTTTAACTAAACTAATTCCACAAATTTTGCCTACCTCATCGCCTCGTTGACCCTGGAATTCGAATTTCTTTGGGATCATAAAAGCGGCATGATGAGACTCCAAAAACCTTTGTTTATCAGCTCTGGAATCCAGAACACCAACGCAAGCTGCTAATTGCTCGGCTCCTGATTGTAAGGAACGCTGCCTCCCTTCCTCTGCACTGCAATGCATCAACAATGCTCTTGCGATACAGTTGTGGAAACCAAAATCCATACACTGTAAAAAAATAAAATTTTTAGATCCAAAAAAATGTTTTTAAACTTTCACCAACATTAATGATTTAAAATGTAAATAAAGATCAATTTTTAATGATAAAAAATATTTTTTAAAAACTAAACTTTCTTGAATGTTGTAGAATTTTTATAATAAAAAAATTATTTTCTCAATATTGAAAAATAATGTTATATTTTTTAAAACTAGTTTTTCCATTGCAACAAAATTTAATAGTTAATTTTAAATTAAGCAGCGACTAACAACTTTGTCAACAGTAGCTTATCAAACATTTAAACTACTTTGCGATATACGTAAAAGACTGCCTTAAAACACTTATTCCTAAAATGTTTTTCTTTTAAAATACAGGCCTCGAATCGACTTTAAGGCAAAAAAAAAAGTAGTTTTAGTTGATTTATATTAAAAAAAAGGTCGATTTCTTTATTTTAACAAAATTTAATTGGTTAATAAATATTTTACTTTAAATAACTAATGTTATTAGATATTAAATTCATTTTATTAATTCTGTAATGAAAATAATAATTGAATTTAAAAAGATTTTGTTAAATTTCACACAATAATTATAATAAGAGAAATTTTTAGTAATTTCTGTTTATGAAGAATTTATTAGAAATTATATACACAAATTGAATATCAAAAGTTTTTAATTGAAAAATATTTTCATATAATTGAATTTTTGAAGAATATTATAAAAATCATTTAAAATAATTGAAATTTTTGCAAATAATTAAATTGTCAGTGATTTTGAATTAAAAATTTTTGGTAATATTTTGTTTAAAATTCTTTTAAAAAAATGTAAAAAAAAGTCGAAAAAGTCGCATCTTATTAAAATAATTTGAAAAAAATCGTATTTTTGAAAAAAAAAAGTCTGAAAAAGTCGTATAATTCTAGGCCTGAAAATATTAAAAATTATCTTTATTAATTAAACTGTAACTAAATATCTAACTTATTTTTTAATAAAAAAGTAAAATAAATTTTTTTTGAAAATTAAATTAAATAAAATGAAAATAATTCACAATTGCAAATCATCAAGTAAGTACTTGATAGCTATTATATATAACGCCGTAAATCCTAATCTGAAGCGAATTACGGAAATACGACATTTCTTTTTATTATCAACTTATTTTTCGACTGAAACTTTGCAGATGACTGACAAAGCATGAAAAACTTGTTTAAGTATATCATTTAACGTCGATATTTTTTTTAAAATGTCTAAAATTAATCATTAACGTAATAATGATGACATTTAATTTAAATACAATAATAACAAAAAAAACCATTTATTATTTAATTACATTTTAACAATAATTTAGATAAATTAAGTACTCCTTCGAGTGAAATTAATATTAATTTAACCACGGTTTGAAATAAATAATTCTAATTATTTAATAAATTAATTACAAATAAGATAAATTTCGACAATGTTTTGTACTTTCTTCAGACGCGTGAATAATGCTTAAAATTAATTTATTAGAATTTTTATTTGATAGAATTTCACAGAATTTATATTTTTTTGAATTTTCATTAGTCAAAATTTATTTATTTATTGAAAATATACGGGCAAAGCCAAAATTTATATTTTTTCGATATTTTATTTGTCAGAATTTTCATTTATCAGATTAGCCATTTAAACAAATTTTTATTCAGCAGAATTTTATTACATACATAGAATTTTTTTTTAAATTGGGCGCATGATTATTCCATAAAAATCATTAATTAGAATTTTTATTTAAAAGTATTTAATTACAAATAATTATTTTTTAGACGAATTTTTCAATTTTTGAATTAAAATTTGATAAATTTTCTTTTTATACGAATTTTTACAAAACAAAATGTTTAGCTACCGAATTTTTGTTTGGTAGAATTTTTATTTTACAATCAGTATATTTACTTGACTTTTCATATAAAAGAATTTTAATTGAATTGAATTTTAATTTGTACGAATTTTTAATTAACAGAATTTTCAAGAAGCCGAATTTTCATTTGTCCGAAATTAAAAATTACCGCACAAATAATCGACAAAAAGATTTCAGCGCAATTTTTAAAATTGACCAATCATGATTATTTTGATAATTTCTAATTGATCAATTTTAAAAATTGAGCCGAAATCTTTCTGTCGATTGTTAGTTCGGCCATTTGTAATTTCAGACAAATGAAAATTCGGCCTCTTGAAAATTCTGTTAATTAAAAATTCGTACAAATTAAAATTCGATTAAATTAAAATTCTGTGAATTGTAATTCGGCTGAAAAATAAATATGACAAATAAAATTCCATAAAATGAAAATTCTAACTAATGATTTTTAGAACATATTCATGCATTTCAGAAAATGACTGTAAAATAAAAATTCTGCCAAACAATAATAATTTGGTAGATAAAAATTTTGTTATTTAAAAATTCGTATAAAAAGAAAAATTATCGAAGTTTAATTCGAAAATTTGTCAAAAAAATTATTATTTTTAATAAAATATTTAAAAATAAAAATTCTAATTAATGATTTTTATGGGATAATGATGCGCCCCTTAAAAATTATAAAAAAAAATTAATTTTAGATATTATTCATGTGTTTCACTTTTTTAATTTGTCATTTGTTGCACTGTCGATGTTTTCAATGAGATTAAATGAAATTTAAAGAGAAACAAGTAAATATATACATGTTTGAAAATAAAAAATTGTCTTTCTAAAATAATAAAATTTCAACTTTTTAAATGCTTTTCCAGCTTTTAAAATTTTCAGTGAAAATAGGTTATTTTCACAGAATATTAAGCATTTATAAATTTGAGAAATCGGACAATTAACTCTTTTTTTTCGTCGAGTTTACTACGGATGTATTTTATTACTTGGAGAGTAATGAAATTGTTCTCGTTTCGTGCACTCTGTGTTTTCTCACGGTACCAAATAAATTCTTCTTTGTAAAGCAAGCGTGGATTATTAGAAGTTAAGATAACGGCTTATAGAAATAGCTATACGCGAATTGATTCTCTACAACGTTCAATTAAAAGAAAAGAAATGCAAGTGTATAAAAAAAAATAATTTCTTTTTTTATACCATTTTGAAATATTAATAAATAATTCTTCGTCGAATAATATATATGTCAATATATTTTAAAAATACTTTCTTTTCTTTTCTTTCATTAATAAGAGAATTTATTATTTTTTTAGATCAGATTAGTTCGTCAGGTTGTTCGTTCCAGTTTGCCAATCGGCGCACTGCTGCGAAGAAGGAAAAGTATATAAAGAAAGCACTTACATCGATGAGGTCGGACAGATCGTCGACAAAGTACTTGTGTATCGTCGTATTGGAAGCTTCAAGACAGAGAATGTACTCGTTTCTGGCCTTCAGTGCCTTCAACTTTGCCTCAGTGTACTTACTCTTTCTCTGAAAAAAGATCAAACGATTGGAGTATCTTATAATTTGAAAGCCATTAATCAAACATTTCATTTATATACATATATATATATATATATATAATCAACACATTTCTCTATTCTGTTCATTCAGTTGAAATGTTTTTTTCTGATCTTGTACGAATATACAGATCTTTGAGCAGATCGTAAATTTTAATCACGAGGTACATTTTTAATTTTATTTTTCATTTTAATTTCAAAGTTCACTCAAGCTTTGGATCGACTTTCAACCGCAAAAAAATCGCTCTAGTCACATTACATTATAAGCGAAAATCGCAAAAAGTCCATTTTTAATTCTTATAAATTTTAATTACCCGTACCTCTATTATAAATAAATATTAAATTTAATAAATTTCATTCTATTTTTAATAAAAGAATAATGATTAGACAAAATTTCCAGTTTCAATTCATTAAAACAATGAATAAAAAAAAATAATTTACAATTCTCTTTTTCTTAAAAGTTCTTCAAGTCTTATTTATGTAAATAATAATTATTCTTCAAATTTTTGGAAAAATGTTTGATATAACAAAGAAATTTCACAAAAATCGTAGAATATCGTTGAGGCAAATATTAAAAAAAAATTTTTTGACTTGGAATAATTCTTAAGAATTAAACTTATAAAAACTGTACTATATATATATTATTATCCAATAATTATTCAATCAAAAAATTAAAATTATCTTCAAATAAATAAATTATCTTCAAAATTTACATTTTTATACAGATTTACACAAATTTATTTTAATTCAGAAAAATTCTAAAGATTTTAACTCGTAATTTTTTTTAGAATATCTAAATTAAAAATAAATTTTTAAAAATATTTCAAAACAAAATTTTTTCTTAATGAATTAATAATTAATTCTAATTTTTCTATTTTATGCGACAATATAGTTAATGAAATACGATTTTTGATGGTTTATTCCAATTTTAGGCATCGGATCAATTTTAAGGCATAAAAAAATTCGTTTTAGTCGATTTGCATTTCAAAAAAAGTTGAAAAAGTCGATTTTTTTATTTTAATTAAATTTAATTAGTTAATAAGTATTTTTCTTTAAATAATGTATGTTATTAGATATTAAATCCATTTATTTGTGTGTACCGAAAGTTCGTTCAAAGCCGAAAGGCTTGAACTATGAAAAATAAATAAATATTAAATCCATTTTATTTTTCTTAATAAGAATAATTCTGTAGAAATATTATCAAGAAAATTTATTTCGAATATTTCAGAATTAAATATGTAATTTTAAAAATTTTATTTAAGTTAGAAAAATTTCTAAAAAAAAATTTCTGACAACAATTCAGTTTTAGAGTTTTTATTTGTAACTTTTTAAATAATTGAATTTTTACAAAAATATTAAAATTATTAAAAATAATTGAACTTTGGAATAATTAAATTTTACAGAATTGAAAATAATTTATCAAATAATTTTAGATAACATTATTTAAATGTAATTGAATTTTCAAAGATCTACAATTCAGATTCTTGAAAATAATTTGAATTTTAAGTGATTTATAATTTAAATTTTTGGTGATAAAGAATTTATTAAAAATTAATAACAAAAATTGAATTTCAAAAATTTGTAATTAAAAAATTTTTTCAAATAATATTTAATTTTTGAAGAATATTAAAAAAATCATTAAATATAATTGAATTTCAAAAGAGTTATAATTAAAATTTTTAAATTTCAAAAAGTTTTAGAAAGATACTTTTGAAAATAATAAAATTTTCAAAGGTTATAAATTCAAATTTTTTGTGATTTTATTTGCTGATTTTTTTTTAAATTGTAAACAAATGTTAAAATTCATAAAATTTTTTATTGGAAAATAGTTTGAAATAATTGAATTTTTAAAGAACATTATAAAAATCATTTAAAATCATAAAATTTTGGTAGAGTTACAATTGACATTTTGAGAAATAATTAAATAGAAGGTTTTCAATTGAAATTTTTGAAAATAATTGAATTCAAGTGATTTTGAATTAAAATTTTTTGGTTATTTCTATTGCTAAAGAATTTATTAAAAATTAAAAACAAAAATTGAATTTTTAAATTGAAAAATGCTTTCAGATAATTGAATTTTCGAAGAATATTGTAAAAATTATTTAAAATAATTGAATTTCGATAGAATTATAATTAAAATTATTAATTTTCAAAAAGTTTTAGATGGAAAATTTTAAAAATAATTAAATTTTAAAAGATTTTAAAAGTTAAATTTCATGAAATTTTTAATTGAAGATAATTTAAGATTAATTTAATATAATTGAATTTGTAAAGAATTTCATTAAAATCATTAAGAACAATTAATTTAGAGAAAAATTTTTGTTAAAAATTTGTTAAATAATTAAAATATAGAAGATCTGCATTGTATACTAAAAAAATATATTTTGATTAAAAATTTTGTAAAAAAAGTCGATAAAGTCGCATCTTATTTAAATAAGTCGAAAAAAGTCATATTTTCTTTAAAAAAAAGTCAGAAAAAAGTCGTATAATCCAAGGTCTGCAATTTTAAAAATAAAAAATGTTACTTGAATTTAAATATAGAAAGTCAAGTGTTCTTGAAGTACAATTTTCAATCTCAATAAAATAGTAAATTATTATGAATAATAATTAAACACTGATAAATCTAAAGTTTACTTCAAAAAAAAAATTTTTACATTGTTACAAAATTAAATTTTACTTTGTTATTTCAAAAAAATTTTTATAAATAAAATTAATTTTATTGTTAAGAATTAATTATTCTATAAAATCTAATTTGAATAAAATTTTTATTATCCAATATTGTCAAGAGGAGAGAAATAATGCTTGGGAGTTCCATGACTCACAACACCCCAAAAAATATCGAGTCAAACAAGTGGTGAGAGTAACTGGAAGCGTATCGATTCTACACGGAACGTCTCTAATTTCATTAATTGACGGCAAATCGATCGTTAAGGGTGCGCAGATCAATTGACGCATCCAAATTTGTCATCAATTTAAAATGCATTCCGATATATATCTTAAAATATCATCTCTATGAAAATATTTAAAGATTTTAAAATTTTTATTTTTAACATATATACACATCAAAATATACCGGATCCTACAAAAAAAAAAATTGTTTTTCTAAATCGAGATTTTTTTTTTGGTTTTTAAACGTAGAAAAAATCGATTTAGAAAAAAAAATTGAGGTCCAGTATATTTTGATCACCCTGTATAAAAATAAATATTGAAGAAGAGAAAAAAATAATAAAACAAATTTGAAACATGTTATAGTAAGAAAATATTTTCCTGTTGGTAAATGTTGACTTCACATACCTTGTTGACTTCCTTCTCAATGAGTTTGTACTTTTTGCTACGAACGAGTTTTTCAGGGGGCGCATTTGCCACTTCTAATTTATTTCTTTGCTGTTCTGCAACACGCAGCTTGGTCTCTGCCTGCCTCGATTCTGCCTGATAAGCTTGGTACGTTTTCATAGTCGTATGCAACTCATGCAAAACTCGCAAAATTTCTTCATGTGTTTCATAACCAATCTCTCGACACTAATTGGGAAAAAAAAAATTGAAAAACCTTTAATATTTGAAAAATTATTATTATTTAAGTATTTTATTTTTCGTTGTTTTCTAAAAAAAAAAAATGAAATAAAGTTCATTTTATTTATACTGCATACTTTCTTTTTACTTTTACAAGAGGAAAATAAAATTTTTTGAACATTGTTGTCCATGAAATTATTATTCATGATTAATATTTTTGTATGATCACAACATGCTTACTCGCTTGTAAATGCGCTGAACGTCCTCCATTACTTGGTTTAATCTTCCCACAAGGTGCGTGCTGTATACTTCGGAGAGGGCAGCATGATCCCTACTCAGGGATTTGGTTTCGTTGACAAGTTGTTGCCAGCACGCGTAACTAGAAAAAAGGGGCCATTGCTCGCGCCTGAAACAATAACAATTTAGTTAATATCATCGACAATAATTTTTGGCCTCGGATCGATTTCAAGGCACACAAAAATTCGTTTTAATCAATTTACATTTTGAAAAAAGTTGATTTTTTATTTTAGCCATTAGTTAACAAATATTTTACATTAAATAACTAATGTAATTAGATATTGAATTTATTTTATTAATTCTGTAATAAAAATAATTCTACCAGAATATTATCAAGAAAATTTATTTCAAATATTTAAAAATCGAACTAATTGTAAGACAAATTTTCAAAATTTTATTTAAGTAGGACAAACTAAAAAAATTCTTAAAGTTCCATTTTTATAATTTTTTCAAGTCTGATTTAAGCAAATTATTCGAATTAAAAATTTTGTCATAGTTTTTAGTTTTGATGGTCAAAAAAAATTTTCGGGTAATAATTAAGATTTACAAATTTTTAAGTAATTTTTTTTTAAATAAATGAATCGCAGAAAAGATTTTAAATTTTAAATAAATTTTCTACAAATATCAACAATAGTAGTTTTTTTTAAATTTTTGACAATTCAATCTTTGAGTTTTTATTTAAAACTTTTTAAATAATTGCATTTTTAAATAAATATTAAAATTATTAAAAATAAATAAATTTCAAAAGATTTTGTTAAATTTCAGATAATAATTAAATTTTACAGAACTGAAAATAATTTATCAAATAATAATTTTAGATATCATTTTTTAAAAGTAATTGAATTTTCAAAAATTTACAATTGAGATTTTTGAAAATAATTGTACTTCAAGTGATTTAATTGAACTTCAAGTAATTTTTAATTAAACTTTTTTGTTGATTTCTGTTAATGAAAAATTTATTAGAAATGGCAGACAAAAATAGAATTTGAAAATTTTTTAAGTGAAAAATGGTTTTAGATAATTGAATTTTCAAAGATTATTATAAGAATTATTAAAAATAATTGAATTTCAGGAGAGTTATAGTTGAAATTTATCAGAAAGTTTTATTTTAGATAGAAAATTTTAGAAATAATTAAATTTTGAAAGATTTTAAATTGAAATTTTTGGTAATTGTATTTGCTAATTTTTTTTAAATTTTAAATAATTATTGAATTTCATAAATTCTTTAATTCGACAAATTTCATTAAAATTATTAAAAAATAATTGAATTTTGGAAGAAATAGAATTAAAATTTTTAGAAATAATTGAATTTTCGAAAAATATTATAAAATTCATTTAAAAAAATAATTATATTCGCAGAAGAATTATAATTAAAATTAAAATTATTAAATTTTCGAATGTTTTAGATGAAAAATTTTAGAAATAATTAAATTTTAGAAGAGGTTAAATTAAAATATTTAAAAATAATTGAATTTGAAAAGGTTTTGTTAAATTTCACATAATAATTAAATTTTACAGAACTGAAAATAATTTATCAAATAATTTTATATATAATTTTTTGAGAGTAATTAAATTTTTAAAGAATATTATAAAAATCATTTAAATTTATTAAATTTTGGAAGAATTAAATTAAATTTTTAAATTGAAAAATGGTTTTAGATAATTGAATTTTCGAAGAATATTATAAAAATCATTAAAAATAATTGAATTTCAAGAGGCTTATAGTTGAAATTATTAAATTTCAGAAAGTTTTAGATAGAAAATTTTAGAAATAATTAACATTTCGTAAAATATTATAAAATACATTAAAAAAAAATAATTATATTTCGGAAGAGTTATAATTAAAATTATTAAATTTTCTTCTCAATTTTTTTCCAAACCTACTTCTGTTTCTGTTCCTTATGCCTCAGCTGTATACTCCTGGCCATTTTGTCTAACGATTTACTATAATCAAGTTCGAGTTCAGCCCTTCTTCTGAAGAAGTCCTGCAGCTCCGCAACCAATGCAACCTGTGCCTCCATTCGCACATCCAAGCATTTTAACTGCTCGTTCAACTGCAACCTTATGTCTGCAAAATAAATAAAATTTTTATGATTTTATTTTGTCACTATTTTTTAAAGTTTCATTTTTTTTTTTTTTTTCATTAAAGCTATAGCAACAAAAAATTTGCGAATTAAAATGGAAACTCCTACTTTTTTTAGTCAAATGAAAAAGAAGAAGAAAATTTATTATTATTTTATTTCTGACACAAGGATTTGATTCAGATGCTTTCAATAACTTTTTTGTTCCTGTCATTTATAAGTTGGAGTCAGAGTTAAATTGCAGAGAGAGAGAAAGAGAGAAAAAAAAGAGTTAAAAGGACGTAATTGAATTCAGTGATGTGTACAAATAAATAATTCTACGAGAGAATAACATAACATGATGAAGACAGAGAAAACAGAAGATAGAAGCAAATTGATATGCAGCGCCACTGCTATAGTAACTTCCTTCCTGTTCAAATTAAAATAATCACGATTCCCTCATCATTACAACGATTTATTTTTGCTCCATACCAATAGAGCAGCCATGTGGATAAAACACAGTCATGAATTACTTTTATCAACAATAAAATTCTTTTGGGTTCAATGGAATACACATACATTGAAGGAAATTAATTGTAAAATTTCACTGTGGTGGTGATACCTGTGTATACTTTTAAACGTGGAATTTGTGAAATGTATTGTACAGTGAAAGGAAAAAACGTCGAAAAGTGAAATGTTCATAAAAAAAAAGTTTTACTATACTGTAAAAAAAAAAATTTTTTTTATTCGAAAAATCAATTACTTGAGTATTATCAAATAAATATTTATTTGAACGAAATAATTTTTATTCGAATCAATAATTTCTATATCAGGGTTGACACAAAATTATTATTTTCTTTTTCCCTCACTTTTCTCTGATTTCAAGTCAAAATTCAAATTTTTTCCCTCACACTAATAAAAATATTTCAATAGGTTTTCAATAACGGGCCTAGGATTGCACGACTTTTTTTTATTTTTTAAAATTGAATTATTAAAAAAATATATTAACTTAGAGACACAAAAAAAGTCGTTTTAATCGATTTATATTCCAAAAAAAGTCGAAAAAGTCGATTTTTTTTATTTTAACAAAAATATTTTACAGATTTTTAAATAAATTTTTCTTTTTAAATAATAATACTTTTGAAATAGTTAAAGTTGAAATTTTTAGAAATAATTGAATTTTAAAAGATTTTGTTAATTTTCAGACAATAATTAAATTTTACAGAACTAAAAAAAATTTATCAAATAATTTCAGATAACATTTTTTAAATATAATTGAATTTTCAAAGATTTGCAATTAAAGATTTTTAAAATTAATTGAACTTCAAGTGATTTTTAATTAAAATTTTTTGATGATTTCACTAAAAAATTTATTAGAAATTGTGGACAAAAATACAATAATTTGAAAACCATTTTTAATTGAAAAATGGTTTCAGATAGTTGAATTTTCAAAGAATATTATAAAAATAGTTTAAAAAATAATTTAATTTCCTTAGAGTTATAATTGAAATTGTTAAATTTCAAAAAATTTTCGATGGAAAATTTTGATAATAATTAAATTTTAGAAGCTTTTAAATTCAAATTTTTGAAAATAATTGAATTATAATTGAAATTTTGGATAATAATTCAATTTTAGTTGATTTTTAATTGAAAATTTTGATAATAATTAATTTTTAATTGAAATTTTGAATAATTATTGAATTTTAATTGATTTTGAATTGAAATTTTTGGTACTAATTGAATTTTATTTGATTTTAAATTGAAAATTTGGAAAATAATTGAATTTTAAAAGATTTTGAATTGAAATTTTTGAAAATAATTAATTTTTATTTGATTTTGAATTGATTTATGATTTTGAATTAAAAATTTTTGGTAATTTTATTTGATATTTTTTTAAAATTATAAACAATTGTTAAATTTCATAAAAATTTTAATTGAAAAATAATTTGAAAATAATTGAATTTGCGACGAATTTCATTAAAATTATTAAAAATAATTAATTTAGTGAAGAATTTTAGTTAAAAATTTGTTAAATAATTGAAATAAATAAGATATGAAGAAGATCTACATTTTATACTAAAAAAAATATATTTTATTTAAAAAATTTTTTTAAAAATGTAAAAAAAAGTCGAAATAGTCGCATTTTATTAAAATAAGTCGAAAAAAGTCGGAAATAATCGCAAAAGTCGTATAATCCGAGGCCTGAAAATTCTATTACTCTTCAAAATTTGTAAAAAAAATGTTATCAATAAAAATTTATGAAAGTTTCAATTGAAAATCTCCTGAAATTCAATTATTCCTTAAAATTTTAAATCAAACTCTTTCAAATTCAATTATTTCTAAAATTTTAATTACAAATCTTCTAAAATTCAATTATTTCACAAATTTTCATTTAAAATTATTTTTTAAAATAATATTTTAATGAAATTCTCCAAAAATTTAATTATTTAAAACATTTTCTGAAATTCTCGAGTTCTAAATTCGAATAATGTGCATAAATCAGACTTCAAAAATTTTCTTTCTTTTAATGTAACTTTAAATTATTTTTGAAAATTTGTTCTGAAACTGAATTGAAATTTTGAAAATTTGTCTCAGTTTAATTCGATGGTTTTAAAAGAAAAATTGTTGAAAATATATCTGTGAAACATTCTTATTAAGGAATTAATAAATTTTATTTAATTTCTAATAACAAATTGTTAATAATAATAAATAAAAATATTTATCAACTAATTAAATTTATTGAAAATAAAAAAATTGACTTTTTAAACTTTCCTTGTAATGTAAATCGACTAAAATAACTTTTTTTTACTTTCAAAAATCCATCCGAGGCCTACAATTATAAAAATGTAAGACAATAATTTTTAGAAGCAAAAATTTGAATTGAAAATTTTAAAAATTATAATTTTAGTAACATTTTTAGAAATTTGATATTTTTTCAGTACTTTTCATAAAATTTTATAACTTTTTGATGATTTCTCTGACCCGTGACAACCTGGTTATATATTTAAAATAAATAATTAATTGACTCAAATAATAATTTTTATAAAATCATGATTTTATAAAAATTATGTGATTTTTTTAAAAAGGGGATCAAATGTGATCACTGTAGGAAGTTAAAGTTTTCTTTATTTTGTTTATACTGCTTAAATCGTTAAAAATAAACAAGGGTTTTTGTACTGATTTATGAAGATGATAAACATAAAAGAGGCATAATAGAAGATATAATAAAATACTTGAATGAAGAATTGTAAATCTCTGACTACGCATGCCAAATGTCGTATAAATACTGAAGAAAAGGTTATTGAAGTGAATTCTTCTTGAAACAAGTTTTATTTCATTGAAAATCAAGTTATTGAACAGAAACGTATTTTATCATAAATATGTAACTTTCGTTCATCTCAAGAATTTCTAACAGACATAAAACCTCTTGAAAATATAAACATATTCATTATTTAATTTAAATCTCGTTATAATGTATAATATTTTATAACAAAACAATGATTTTAAAAAATTTTCATTATATACCTAATTTAATATTATATCATTTACATTTTATTTCTTATTATTACAAGTACCTAATATTTGATTAAAGATATTTTATAGTACATGCATATTTAAATCTATTGGAAAAGCATATAACCTTTGACATTACATTAATTTTAAAATTTCCCTGACTGTATACATATAATGTACAATGCAGCGTCCACAATGCCTTTCAAACTGTTTAAAAGTTTAAGATCAAATCTTTCTTCAACTGAATGCATTAAAATGAATATATTTTAAATTGTTATTAGGTAAATAAAATTTTTTTTAAAATAAACTACTCAATTGTTTCTTTTTGAAAAATGAAAATTAACGAAACACATAAATAAGCCCTAAAATTCTTTCGATAGAATTTTCATTAATAACTTAGCTCAAAAATTAATTTTTTCGCCATTGACATGAAAAAGTGTCTTTTTTGTGCCTGTTTTGGGCAGATAAAGTAGCACTTTTTAAGGCAGTTTGAGCCAACTGCCTAAAAAAGACTTTTTTAGGCAGAAAACTGCCCTATAAAGTCTTTTTTAGGCAGTTGTTAATTTTTGCATAATTTTTGTTTTGCTTTTATTTTATATACTATTTCATATATATTATATTATATATTTTATATATATTTCTTTAAAATTGTTTCACTTTTTCATAACAATGGCGAAAAAAATAGCGTATGTGGCTCGCACGTAGTAATTTTTAGGTTCGGATGATTTCAATACTCGCTGTCTGTGCGACTTCGGCTCATCTTTGTCTCACCTACGTCGCACTAACGACACCTCGTACTGAAAATTACATCCTCACCTGAAAAGTACTACTTTACGTGCTTGCCACATAATATACTATTTCCTGAAACTACCTGTAACCTCAAAAATTACTTCCTAAAAATTAAAAATTAATTTCTTAACAATCTCTTTCAAATTTTAATATTCATGAAAAGAAATTTATAAAAAGTATATCCGCAACCTTGAAAATTACCTGCCGAAAATTGAATATCAATTTTTTTTAAAACCTCTGCAATTTAAAGCTAATTTAATGTTTTGACATAGCGCTGACAATAAATTTTCCAAAAACTACCTTTAACCTCAAAAACTACTCTCCAAAAATTAAAACACTAAATTTTCATAGTGAACTGAGAGTAATAAATTAGCATTTAAAATCCTGTGAGGAAATTTTTTGAAAAATCTGCTTTTTAATTTTCTTTAGATAGTTTTTGTGGTTCAAGGTAGTTTCTGGAAAATCATTTTCACGGTGAAGTTAGAGTACTGAATTAGCTCTAAATTCCTGTGAAAGATATTTTTAAAAAACTTGCTTTTTAATTTTCAGTAGGTAGTTTTTGGAAAATACTTTTTTGGGCTATATTAAAGCACGAAATTAGCTCTGAATTCCTATGGAAGAAATTTTTGAAAAATTTTCTTTTTAATTTATCGGTACATAGTTTTTGAGGCGAAAGGTAGTTTTTTAAAAATTTCTTTCACGACGA